GCACTGTGGGGGGGGTGGGAGTGGGGAGGGGAGTGTGTTGGTGGGTGTGGTGGGGGGAGGAGGGTGTGGGCAAGGCAGCAGCATGAGGCGCGAGGGAGCGAGGGAGAAGGGCTCGACAGGTGTGGGAAGCTGCAGCGGGCGGAGAGCAAGGACAGGCCGCAGCGCCGGCCGGACGGCAGGGCGCTGCTCGTTCCCCGGCTGCGTCGGCGGCGGCCCACCTGTGCCACCGAGAAGAGGTGGTGCAGGATGCGGGTCTGCAGCTTGAAGCCAGGTTTGTGGAAGGTGTCTGCGGGAGGCGGGAGGGCACAGGAGAGGCGGCGTGGGACCGGGATCGAGGCGAGGCGAGGCGAGGCGGCAGGCGGGGCTGGCCGGCAGCCAACACCACACACCACACACACCAGCCAGCACAGGCAGCCGCCACCACGAGAGGCGCCTTTCCCGCAGCCCTCCACGCAAGGGACACAAGTCGCAACAGCATCGACAACAAGCAAGCAAGCACCAGCAAGCGCCGGCCACGCGGGGCCCACCCGTCATGACGGCGAAGATCTCCTGCACCAGCTGCGTGTAGAAGGCCTGGTAGAAGGGCGTGGCTGAGGGGCTGCCCGTGAACATGACCAGCAGCTCGTGCAGCAGGTGCAGGCCCGTGTCGGCAATGTTGCGCTCGGTGTGGCGGAAGGCCCACACGATGGAGTCGATGACCAGCTTGAGCTGGGCCTGCGGCGGAGTGGGTGGGGTGGGGTGGGGGGGGTGCCTCAGCGCGGGAGGAGAGGTGAGGTGAGGGGCCAGCAGCAAGGAGGAGGGTGGGAGCGACGCGCTGAGACGCATTGAGACGCTGCTGCTGCTGCTGCTGCTGCTTCAGCCGGTGCGGCCAGCTCCCGGGCGGCAGCTAGTGTCGCGGCCCCCGCGCGCAGCCCGCCGCCAGGCACATACTTGAAAGGAAAAGCAAACATGTGCGCACGCACCGGGCTCATGGCGAAGAGCGTGGGGGAGCAGTGGTTGGTGATGGCGCGCAGCAGGGAGAAGAACTGGAGGCGGTGCTCGGGGTAGTCCTGCAGGGGGCATGGCAGGGTGGGGTGGGGTGGAGACGAGAGGGTCAGGGAGGGAGGGTGGTGGGCTGCCTGCAAGGAGCACAGGCACCCTTCGGCCTCCTCCGCACAGCCCCCGCCCGCCTTGCTCCCAGCCCTCCCCGCCCCACCAAACGCACGCAGCCCCCCACCCCACACCCGGTCCTGTCCCCTCCGCGTGCTTTCCTCCCTCCGCGTGCTTTCCTCCCTCCGCGTGCTTTCCTCCCGCACCACACGCCCACCTCGAAATTGCGGGTGATCATCTGCAGCGTGCACTCAAACACGGCGCCAAAGATGCGCGGCACCTCTGCCTCCATCTTGCCCCGCAGCCGGTTGATGATCATGGCAAACATGGAGAGCACCTCGGCGTCGCTGCAGGCAGCAGCACAATAGCACACGGGGTGTGGTGAGGAGGGGGTAGGGTGTAATGCAGGCGGGGAGCAGCAGGGCAGGTGGGCGGGCTGGGCTGCGTGGGCCTTGCGGCGGTGGGCTGCAGCAGGCTTGGCCCGGGCGGCGGCAGCGGGCCAGAGGCGGGGGGGTGGGAGGTGGAGCCAGCCACCGCCAGCCGCTCACCGCGCGTCGGGGTTGTTGCGCGCGTAGTCGCCCAGTATGGGGTCCATCATGGCGGGGACGTACTGCAGGGCGGGGCAGTGGTACCAGGCAGTACATCAGCACAATAAACGGGTGCATCGTGGGGGGCTCAAGACTCAGCCCTGCGCCCAGGCAAGCATGGCCGAGAGACACAGCAGGTGCCCGCTCGCCCAGCTGCAGCTGCCCGGCAGCTGCCCCACACCTGCGCCGCCACAAGGTCTGGGTCCTCGCACTTGTCCACCAGCGTCTCTATCAACCGCAGGGTCACCTTCTTCACGCTGCAGGCGGGGGCAGGGGCCGAGCGGGCGGGCGTGGGCACGGCAGCGGAGGTGAGGCAAATGTGCACCTTTGCGAATGTGCAGGCTGTAAACACAAGAAAGCAAAGCAGCAGCGACAGGTACCGGGTAGTACCGGGCAGTACCGCCACCAGCACCCACCTGCGCATCAGCTTCACGGCTGATGTCTTGGAGGCATGAGGGCCGCCCGTGGCAATGGCCGCAGAGATGAGCTCGCTGTACATCCTGCGGCACGGTACCGGAGGGCAGTACACAGCGGCGGTGCAGCGAGGGAGGGGTCGGCAAGCGGCATACAATAACACCCCCACCCCGGTGAAGTGCTGGGATGGGGGGCCCATGCAGGCAGCAGACTCCCACACAGCCTGCCGCAGCCACCTCCACCCGCCCGCCACACCCGCTGCCCCACACCCCAGCCACCAGTTTGCTTGCCCTTGTTGCACCCATGCACTGGCACCACAGCGGCGCTGCCCCTCCTCCCTCCCCAGACGCTGCCTGCCCCCTCACTTGTACACTGCCAGCACATCCAGGAAAATGAGGTTGAACTGGGTGACAAAGGGGTGGCCCAGGCTGCTGCACACGCTCACATTGGTCTGCAGCAGCCGCGTGGCGGAGGGCGACAGGCAGGGGCAGGCGGGCGGGCGAGCGGTCAGGTGGAATGCGTGGCTGCGGCAGCCATGCAGTACGGCCCTGCTCGCCGTCGATCCGTGCAGTCACTGCAGCCGGCAGCCCCTGCACCCACGCCCGATGCCTCCGCCCCCGCAGCCTGCCCCGCACGCCCCAGCCCCAGCCCCCACCTGCAGAATGTTCTGCACGTTGCGGATGACCTCCGCCTGCCTCAGCACCTCCACATTCTGCTTGGCCTGCTCGATGATCTGCTGCCAGGTGGCGTTGGGGGGGCCCATCAACCGCTGCAGGTACTCATCTCGCCGCTTGGCGTCTGCGGCAGCCAGGGGGGCGAAGGCACAGCGGGGCCGTGGGCCGTGGGGCAGGAGGAAAGCACGAGGGAGGGGGCAGTCGACGGGCACACGCTCCCCCAGCTCTGGCAGGCAGTAGGGCTTGCCGGCTGCCCACCGGGCGCCCCGGCCCCGCGCCGCCATCTCTCCACACCCTGCCTATGCTCTCTGCACATGCACGCCGTCCGGCAGCCGCCTGGTAGCGGAAGCTGCCCGGAAGCTGCAGCATGGGCGGTGCAACCCACCGGTGTCTGCCGACACCATGAGGCCCACCGCCTCGTAGAACATGTGTATCTGGTGCGTCTCCAGGTCCTGGATGGTGGCCGTCAGGCCCGACAGCAGCTCCGAGATGAAGGGCTCGCTCTCGCCCACCTGCGCGGCACGGAGAGGGTGTGGGTGGTGGTGGTGGTGGTGCT